ACGAATGCCATTTAGCTGTCCCTACTTCTGTCCGCCCACAACAGGCTTAACGTTCTTGAGACTGTGACAAATAAAACATCAGAAAATGTTCTCGTAAACCACTCAACTCTCCACTTACTTGATGGTGATGCGGAGGTTGCTGCCCTTGGGTACGTCAAACTTCTTGGGGTGCGTGCGGAAGTGGCTGATGATGTTGGAGACGTCAAGTCCGCCCTGTTTCTTCTTGTCCTTCCGAGCCGCCGACGTCTTGCGCGCTCGCAGCTGTACCGTCGGCACTTTCTTCGCCTTCTTGGTCAACACAAGACCAGGCCGCCGCTTGTTGATCAACGCTTGCCGCTTCGCCGACGCCGCCGCCACGTTGGCTTTTGCGCGCTGTCCACAATCTCAAGTTAATGCCTCGTACTATTTTCGCTCTGAGTGCAACATACAGCAGTCTTGGATACAGCCACGACCACTGTCTTCTTGACGTTCTGCTGCTTGTGTCCCTGCGTTTTCTCCTTCTTGGTCGTCTTCGTGGCTTTTGCCTTTGGCTTCTTGGCCGAGTTTTTCGCAATCTTTGGTTGCTTCTTCTTCGCCTTCTGGATCAGCGTGTCTATGGAGGAGATTAGGGTGAAGTTGCTCTGAGAAGGGTCATCACGCACCAAGAGGGAGAGCGAGCTGCTCCTCTGCGGAGATGCCGAGCGAGAAACCTCCAGACGACATGCTCCGTACTTTCGGTTTCGAATGAGTTTCACTGAATGTAGAAGATTTGAAAGGATGAAATGTCTAGGAAGCCCACGTACTTAAGTGGGAATAGCCCAAGAACTGATTGTTGGAGACGTTTGAGACGACCCAAAATTTAAGACTAAAAAATAGCCCAGAGCAGATAAGACAGAAAATCCGCCTTACAAATTCTCTGGATTTTCGTTTACCTAACCCTTTGTCTTCGGAAGAAGACAAAAAAACTCATTGGTGTGGTTTATTTTTAAATAAACCACACCAATGAGTTTTGACAGAAAAGCGATGTGTTAAAACACATCGCTTTTTTGTCCTTACAGCAGTTTCGTAAGACAAATTTTGACTTGGTTATTTGTAGACCGGATTTTATCTTTCCAAATCGTTACCTGTTATGGAGAAATCAGCTGAAATCTCACATATCTGCCGAGGATTTTCCGCTTACTTAGTTCAAGTCAAATGGCTATTTTTGTCCTACCCGCTAGGACAAACTCGAAAAATGACATGCTTTTAGAGACACTTTAAAGCTGCTACAATATCCGCATAGACAATGAAGAACAGCAAGTCCTCACCATTATGAAAAGAGGAAGGACTTATCTTACTCATACCCGTAAATTAAAAAATATCAATATTGATTCCAAGCCGACCTAGTAGAATTTGGTCCTATTTTTGTCCTACGAGCGGGCTACGCGGGGTTAAGTAGGAGTAGTCAAACAACAAAACTTTTATTCTTTGAAAATTGTTTTTAGAACCCTCAGATAGAATGCCGGTGATCGTCCCATTTTACAAACAGTGAACAACTATTTTATGCATAAACTATAAATTTCTGGATTATATCCAGAGTCCATGCAGCGATCGTACGGATGCTCAGAAAAGCCATGTATTCGCAAGGAACAGCTCTGGATTTTGGTACCATATATTTACCCTTTCAACTCCGATATTTCTACAAGTGTTCATTAATGAGTATTCACATCTATCTGTTGTTTACCTTCGCGCATCTCCTGTGCCTGTTCCGCAGCCGCGGCATATCCGTGGTCGCTAAGAATTACACATTATTCCAAGAGTATTGTCTATAAGGCATATGCAGCTTTAACCAACAAAAGTTTCGATGTCTTAATAAGGTTATGATGGATTGGATCCCAGAAAATTGGTGTGGAGATCACTGGTTGTCTGACGTACCCAAGCCAACTGACTCTACTGTCCTATCTAGAATTCATCAAGCGACAGAAAATGCTCATTCTCTTGAAGTTGATGGTTGAATGTCAAGGGGCGAAAAAAGGGGCGAAGAAAGTGAAGATGTGACCGGACCAAGGGTTGATGGATTCACCCTACTAGATGACGAGACTTGACTTCGAGAAGAATGTTCGACGGTGGATGGATGTATCTAGACTACCCGAATCTCTGTGATATATGGGCGTCTATTCTGGAAGCTAACACCGCCGTGGTTCGGTATGAAAGAGGTTGAGATTGGAAGTGGAAAAATTCGATACTATTCTCAGACTACCCATGCAATGTTCAGACTTGGGTTCATCGAAATGGAGTGATTGTGTGTTAACGAACATGATGATGAATGATCTCAGGATATCAATCGAGAGGTTCAAGTTGTTATCGACCTCGGGGCTGAGGTGATTCTGCGATGTGGTGAACATGACGAGTTTTAGAACTGAGATTGGTGTGAACTTCCATACTATTCTCAGACTAGGTATGGCATGTTTCGATATGTTAGATACTAGAAACATTGTGGGAATTCTGGAACCGCGGGTGGTCTCGGAATATTCTCAGCGGTCCCGCAAAATATGGCAAAGGGGGAAGTCCCAGAATTGGCTCCAAGTTGAGGTTGCGTGAAAGGTCGGTTCGAAAGTCCGCATCACATCAGGCACGCCACGAAGAGTGGGCCATCTCAGGTTGACGGAACACTTCGGTTGGAGTAATCCGACATGTCCTGACCAATGCCAGTGGCACATACGACTTAGGCATACATACATGGTTCAAGCTGACTGTTCTTCTGTGATGAGTGGTTATATTCTCACCCTTCGACTTTTATTTGACTTATAGTTTGTAGCGGGACTGACGCCCGAGTTATGTCGGTTCCCGTTTGCATGTGTTAAAAATTAATCAGAATTCAATTTGCCCCGAAGGACGCAGGAGAAGTCACATCGGTGAGCGTGCAGGCTTAGCACGTATTCCGGCATCATCCTGAAGGTTAATCGTCTTCCCATAAAACTCAAGCCAATTTAACAAGGTTAACATTACATTATTGTTGGGTTAATTGAGTTATTTCATATTCTGTGCTACTTGGACACCTAGTTCGACTGGATTTCGATTGGTACTTCAGGGAAGGAAGTGACCTTCCTTTGGATCTCTCGCAGTTTTGGTGTTTTGTCCTGGAGCGAGTCTTGGAGTGCATTCTCAGCCATATTTGACTTTGACTCTTTTCGCCCCTATAATATTGCGTGGTGCGCGACGTTCCAGGACAAGTGAAGGTTCCTGGAAGTGATGAGGTCCAAGGCGGACCAGCTAAGACTCCCAGTCACTCTCGGATCGGAGAGGCGAGTGACGATCCCGGAACGCGGTGCCACTTCTGACCACGCGGAGGAAGAGGAGGAACTTTTAACGGTCAAGTCCAAGGCCGTGGAAGAGAAGTGGACAAGTGTGTGTGGTGTTGTGCTGCATATCAAGAAACACGGGGCTTTGCGACTTCGTTTAAGCTCATCTAGACTGGAACCTGCCGAGCTCGAGCCTAATTCTTGCTCGGACAGTGTATTCTAGGATCACCCAAGACCAAGAGGAGTCCATGTGGTTCTCAGAATTCAGGGACCAAAGCGTAAGTGTAGCACAAAAGGATCAACAAGGGGATTCACAAGCGAGGTTGCAAACGCCATTCCCAGACCTTTGCGGGTTTGAGAATTTGCTACTTTTTTTACTAGTAGGCTTCAGACCAGTCATACATGTACCGCTGTATCACCGTGAATGTTGCTGGAATGGAATAAATACACTGTTTGGCAAAGCTGCAATAGGATAAATGAACATTTGGCGATGCGCCGTTGGACGACGAACACGATCATTAGACGAGGGAAATCAATGTGTTAAACATACACAAGGCGAAGATCATTTCGACACCGATCTTGAAACATTTCGACCCAGAGCATACTCCACATAAGTTGCGTGTTTCCTATCCTATAGTGAACCATTTCAGCGGCAATGATACACTAAAAAGTGACATTCACATTCACCACTCGCACGCTGAAGGCCAACGAGTTGAACTACCGGGAACATAGAGATGGGAACATGGCCCTTCTGCGGATGTTAGACTTCTGTTATTCCGAGCTGGGAACAAAATTGATAAAAGTGTTGTTTCGTTTCTCCGCATTACCTTGGATCCTGGTGTTGAACGGACTTGGAGGTCAACTAGGTAAATGGAGACATTGCTATCCTGCTAGATGATGGAAATAGCGGAGTGATCGAGGGACAAACAAGTCTCAGCGCAAGCATCGCCCGGAGATCTGAAGTGAACTAGGCCCTCGACGCGATAGCCCCGAAAAAACAACCCCGCAAAAGGATTGCCATGACCTCCAACTGTAAAAGCAGAAGGTAGTCGCTTGGTAGCGAATTTCGCCGGATCTGCACTAGTGAAGCACCGCAGGGCGCATACGGCGCGACTGTATGGAAACTTCCCGAGTGAACGACCCTCGAAGTGATGTCCGGACACGTGTAGGACGTGACGGTGAACGAAACGGATTACTGGGTCTGCCACCGTGTTTCGATCTGCTCTCGACTCAAGACAAGGGACGGATCGTGAACTACGATGACTCAAACTTGGCGAACCTCCAAATGCGATGCAAAAACGGCTGCAAGGCGCCGGGTCTACATTTTGTTACGTCAGAAAGCGATGAACCGGTTGTGATCATGGCAGAAACACGAATTTATACACGTCAAGCGAAATTGGCACCAAAGCGGCGTAAAGCTAGGTAGGGTCACTCTGCAGCACGAAGAAAGAGAGATCGTGACGGCGAAGGACAATCGCCAGGACTTGATCTCTCTCAACATGTTCCGTAAGATTCTCCAGCCGACGTCTATTAAACTCGTAATCCATGTTAACGATCGCTAGATCGTCGAAAGACTGACCACCGCCACTGGTGTCGATGAAAACAATGCTGGCCAACTCATACGGGGGCAGCGAATCAGGCAAGCCCAAGACGAAAAAGCTTGCCTGAAAAATCACGCTTGCGTTCTGTTGAAGGAAGAAGTAAAGCCATGCTCGAAGGTCGCATGAACTTACGAAGTAGATGAGGACGGACGGCTGTTTCCCTGTCCGAGGACCCTGCAACGAGACGAAGGTCATGATGGCGTCGTCGACTGGTAGTTCCAGAAAGTCTGCAACCGCACTTCCTACACCATTACCGTACGAGTCTGGTAGGAGACCATCAGAGTATAGGGAGAACATATCGCAGGATCTGGGCGCATTTTCACTGGCGTAACCTGTACTGAAGTATCATTTGCTACGTGGGGATGTACGGACTGTGAGACAGGGAAAAGGCAGCTAACAGATCAAAGGAAATCTCCGGTGAAAGTACATGGTACGTATCCGTTCTTAGCCATTTACATGGATCACATCACTTCGCTGCCGAAGCATTTAAGAAGGAACACTGAATTGTTGACCTGGGCCGACTTGGTCATCGGATATGTGATCGCTTGGCGAGGTCGTCACGAGACGAGCAAATCGTGACGGAAAACTATGAGAAATGCGACTTTCGAGGTTTAGTGTACGTGAGATCATCATGCATGATCGAGTACGAGGGTTCATGACGGTTAGTTCGTTCGTTCAATCGAATAGTGAAAAAAACAAAGTGCCGAAATGACATACAGCCCACAGGGTAATGGAAAGGTCAATCGAACAGTACAGGCGATAATCCAAGCGTTGTAGATGCATGGCGCGGACGTCGACTAACAAGACTGATACGACTACGTCGAATGACAGATGTTTGCTCTCAACTCCGCCCAAAGCCGGGTTCGCAGGAACACGTTGTTCTACTCGGTGCACGACTGGGAAGCAAGATCAACGTTGGAAATAGCACTCCCACTCGGGTCGACAAGGCGGAGAGATAGTGACGCCCACCAGCGGAGGCATCCGGTGCAGACACAATACTGACGAGCCACAGAAGCGGTGGACTGGGTCTACGAAAAGCAACCAAATCAAGTGCTGTACGCCACAACGAACAAGGAAGGCCTCGCAAGATCAAATTGGTATCACAAGTGTAGATCTACCTAGACTAGGTGATTGAAGGCTTTACGCAAAAGCTCACCCATAGGTGGCATGGGACCTTCCGTGTGACTGAGGTTATCGGCGACCTGGCGGCACATCTGGAGACAGCTACCGCATCTTTTTGGTAGTGCATCGTTCGAAATTGGAGCAAGTGAGGTCATTCCAGACCGGATAATCACGACGCTTTCTGTTGCCAAAAGAACTCTCCTGCCTGGTGATAGTGAGAAACACCTCAGGATGACGACAACCTCCAAGTATTCCGTATCGCCGACGTGTGATCTAGCCGTCGTACTCGATACGACTGCGTTCAACGAGAGTTCCAAGTGTGCTGAAAATGACCCAGCAACCGTACATGCATAGACAAGGCCGATCTTAACTGTAGGGCGCTCCTAGCAGAGGTCGTCATGCAGTCGCACGAGGAGGAGGTCGGACACTTGTTGCAGGAGAGCGGGTGCAGGAGGTGCACAACAGATGAAAGGGTACGTGTTAAGGGCATAATGACCAAGTTGAAGTTACTTAGCAAGATGAAAATAGTTTTCGACTACAAAATAAAGGTCGAGGAAAATGAAACAGCTAGCACAAACCTAGACAAAACCCGGAGCCTACATAGAGCTCGTTAAGAGGGAAACCTTGACCGGCAAACGGGGAAGCTGAGGCCTGGGTGATCTTGGACCTGACGGCGGAACAGATTACACCATGGCTCCGAAGCATCCACCTAACGTAGCTATTGGAATAGGTTGGTTGGTTGCGGGTCACATCCTAACCCAGGGTTCCACACAGATGCCTCGTCTTGGCGGGGGAAGTGGACGAAAGCGGGTCCAGAAAGACGTCCAAGCCTCACACAGCACAATGCATACGGCAAGCATAGCTTCCTGGTAACTCCAATGAGGCAATAATGGCGTTGTTTTCACCCTGATACAAAACCCGCGAAATACACCACCATGGTTGTTAAATTTTCGAGGATGGGAATGGCGCGCGAAGCCTCCCACAAGAATCGCTGGTGCTTAGTGTTCAACGTCGCCAGCCATTAGGCCATGATGCGGAGAGATCCACCCGGAAACGCATCATCCACGAAAGCGACAGGTTGTGCTGCGGCGGCGATGACTCGCCAGGACACAGAAGCGGACGCAGCGGACACTTTGCCCTCATCAATTAAACCTTCCCATCACTCGGAAGGAAATGATACCCCGTTCTTGAAAGGGAAATCCTGAAAGGGGGCTTGTAGAGACCTTTAAAAAACATATCGACGGCCAGCACAGACACGCATAATCCGTTATGTAAGCCAACATTCCACGTACACCACCGCTAAGGTTCCCCGGACACGATAACCAGGAAGCCAAAGCGCACCATGTCTACGCAAGTTGCGGGCAATGCTGCATAGTGTTGCGAGGGTAGCAGTGGGGCGTTAGTCACAGTCCAAGAACTACCACTGAGCCTGATATGAACGCTGATTGTGGCGTGTTTGGATCGTTTCGACACCCAGAGGGGAAGGTCCACCGCCGTTCGACTGCAAGGTGGCTGGGTCCGCGTGTTAGTCGCCTCGAAGTATTGAAGCGGCGTCTCTAGTCTGTGGCCCGCCCTGGGTTTCATCACCACCAGTAAATCCCGTAGTGCATTGAGAGTGCAGTCCGAACGCGCCTCAAGTGAGAGCCGACATCACGGGATCGTCGTCGAGTGACGACGAATGAGGTGGGTTAAGAGAAGAACGATGTTTACTTCTGCTGCGAAGGCGCCGTCGTGGTGCAGGAGAAGAGCCTCCGGTTGGTCGACCAGAGGACACGACGTCGCGAGCCGAATGATTTTCACGCTCGTGTCGCTCCGTACCCTGATGGGAAGGGCGTCGACGGGAGAGAACGACTATTGTGTTCAAGGCGGTCCGGGGTGACGTGATGGAGATCATGGCAGCCCTCTATGACAGCGTTTCTGAGGAAGAAGATGCAGAGCACGACCAAGCCTTCAATCCTGGCGACGACGGGTCGGACACGTCAGAGCGCCGCGTTATCCCCCCCTCGTCAAGGCAAACAGATTCGAGGCTCCACTTCGTGTTCGTGTGTTTGTGGTAAGCCCAAATGTTCTAATTCTTCACCAAAGAAACGTGCGAAGGCTACCCCAAACCTCACGACCGACTCGATAGCGCAACCAAACCGCTCTAGCCCGCGGATCGATAAGGGTATGAGAGACGTGGAAAGTCGGTTCATTAAGGTATCGGGACTTGGTATTCTTTCGGGGCACCACAACGGTGTGCTCATGAAATTTCCGCCTGGCACTACCAACGCAGGTGCTTAATCTCTTGGATTCTCTAATTAATTACGCTCCCGATATGGCAAAAGACGAGGTCGTGCAAGAGCTTCAGGAACTATGGGTCGTGTGGCATTCAAAGCACTCATGGTCACCATGCCGTGGGACATAATAATTGAAGAATGGCCTAAATTATTTCTTCTGCATGAGCGTCAGAAGTTAAAGAGATGTGGCTCGCGAGGGCTTTGATACAATAGTTCAGTCCAAGTAGGGAAATTGCGGTTCGATTTTGTGGTTTGGTCACTGGGTGTTCATTGACTTCGATACGGAGGATTTCTACCCCCTGGAATGTTCTACCCCTGGAATTTCATCGTGGAAGCAAAGCCGAATGTGATATGGTACGCAAAATTCAACAAATCGTTTGATGAGTGGGTCAATGGGGGTCTGAAGGAATTTTGTTTTGATGAAGCTGGAGTCTGGGTTATTCTCTTCAAATGGTGCGACTGGACTTTGATGCGCAAGTTTCAGCTCAAGGATGTTAACACGCCTTACGCGCCGGATGAGCAACCGGAACTTCTGGATAACGAGAACTGCCTCGCGTTCAGTGTGACATGAGGATCATTTCAAGCACCTCCCTGAAGCCTATCCATTAAGGATCCTGTAGCGTCGCTCCCAGAAGAATGAATCACATTGGATTTCGACTAGTTCTAGATGGCCTAGCGCCATCCCGAACGTCATATATTTTGCCTTCGTGCTCTGCATGACCATCTTCGCTCTGATATTCCAGCTACACGTTATGCATGCCAAACCACTGTATCCGTGTCAGTTGACAACTAAATCCGGATTTTACAGCTTCATTTTTTAAATTCGCATCACATCCCACGGCGTGAAGGCTCACTTCTCCAATCGTAAATCAAAATAGGTATAGTGGAAATCAAAATATCCACGGTCTGGTTTATTCGTGTGACATTATTCGGGGAGATTACACGCTTGGTTGGTCATCCCCAGCTTGCATCGCATGGAAGCTCTCGCCCTCGGTTGAACACATAAAGTAAAGATCCATATTTGATCTGAGACAAAGGGATCCACTCCGGAAAGTATAACCTTTGCCATTCACCAGATATTCCCGATTTCATTTTAAAAACCCCTTCGCACATCCTGAACGGTTTTTACTTCTAACCCGTAATTTGAATAGTCAGGCTCCCAAATGTTCTCAGGTAACAGTGACGCGTCTAAATCGTCGGCATCTTCGACATCGATCACGATTGCCGGTTGCTTCTGGAAACAACCATCGGCTTAAGTCGACTAATGCACCCAAGAATTTACTTGCTAACCCAAATCCTCCGCCCTAGTCTCACCCGGAGACCTCCCGATGTTCTTTGATCTTGAACAGCCGTGCTACCGGCGCGCCAATTTTTGCCTCAGTCCAGTTTCGACTTTTGGTACGTACAACCAAACGGCATCCCCTTCTCGAAACCCGCCAGGGTTCTCTCTGAAAGTATGAGCCACTTTTGGGTATACTCTTCCGAGTGTACCCTCTTTGTCTTCTTCTGGAGATCTTCAGCTCCGGCGAGGGCGTAACTGTTTTTCAGTTGCAATTTCCGATGTCACTCATTAGCCGTACGTTCGGTTACATTTGTTGATTTCGGTTCCCATGTGACTGACCCCGTGCCTCGTGCATTCCAGCCGTGAACTAGGTAGAATGGCGAGTCCAAACGAGCTGCGTCGAATGACGTGTTTAGGGCGAACATTAGTCCCTCAGCATGATCGTAGCAGTCAAACTGATCCATCACAGCGAAAAACGCGCGGATACTCCGAATTTTAGACATCGCAGGGCCATTTTCGAAGGCGGAAGGTGGAGAACGGCATGTGGTAGCAGCTGCGGAATACGTAACTCGGTATGTTGAGGCAGTGGCGACTGAGCAACGTATCCCAGAGCATATTGCCGCATTTCTGATGAAGGAGATCGTGCTCAGAATTGCCGTGTTCCGAGGACTGCTGACGGAAGGAGTACCCGAAATGACAAGGTGTGGAGTGGAACAATTGGTGTTGATGCAATTGGTGCTAATGCTTCAAGCTGTCAAGCTAACCCGGTCCTTACAGGTCTCAGATGATAGGTCATGTGGAGAGATTTAATCAAACTTGGAAAGCCTGTTTGTCCTTACACATGCAACGAGACGAATGGGACGATTAGAACTAGATGGCTTTTGCAGTCTACGCCTACAACTCCGGTAGACATTCCACAGCGTATCTCCCTCCGAAAAACTCATGATGGGTCGCAAATTGTGATCGTTCAACATACGTGACTGAAGCCGGTGACTTAGTGCCGTATCATGTAAACGTGCATTGAGAAGCAGC